ACAGTGGCCAAGAAACTCAGGGGCTCCTGGTAGAGTGTGCAGGTGGGACATGGAGGGCATGGCGGGGATGGGGTCTTGAGTAATGTCAGGTTTTAAGAGAGATATCAGCAACCCATTCTTAAAGTACTTCAGTCTGCTCAAGATGGAAACGCAAATGACACAATGCTGAGAGAGGGAGGCAAGAATGCTGCTCCCACCCAGCCAGGGTTTCCAAAGTTTTCAGCATTATTTCAAAGGTGAGGATGCTAGTACCCTCATCATTTTGAATGTTCTCATATATATTTGATAGATTACAATCATTTGTTCTTTTGATATTGTTCTTCTATAAGTAAATCATGATGAATTTGCCTATATATCAAAAGGATATAAAAATTCACATAAGCAGTTGTAGCCTTTGCCATACTGTATTAAGTACTTAAGAACACAAAAATTATTGAAACTCCAAAGAAGGACAGAAAGAAGGCTGCTCAATACTTCCAATATTTTTCAGTCTAACCACATTTTGACTTTCATGTTGATCCCAGAAGGTATTCCTTTGACCCGCTAAAGGGCTTCAAATTATTTTAATTTAATTATTGTCATTCATAACATATAATACTGATAAAAACAATAGATAATGAAACTAACAATGGATAAAACTGAATAGTTTAAATTCTGTGAAAATTTTTAAAAATCAGAACTGTTTTCTCAGATGGGATTTTAAAGAGAAGTATGTGTGTGGGGGGTGGCAGTGCATTAGATATAACCTATGTAAACTGGTATTTTTCAGATAAGCATATATTAAAAACAATATCTAAAGAAAATAATGGAAAAATAAAATTAACCTGAGAAAAATTCTATTTGCCAAATTTGACCTGAGAACTCAGGAATCAATAGATACAATGTTCACAACAGGAAAAAGAACAAATAATTTAAATTTGATATATATAAAATCAAATGGAGGAATCGAATACTTGTTAGTAGGAGTGATAGATACAAAGGAAAAATTCATTAAAATGAATGTTAATGGAATTTGAATCACTTAATTTCCTCCTCAAGGAATTAAGTTTTCTTCATGAATTTAATTTTAATAATGGTTGTCTCATTTGAAATATACCCACATTGGTATATTTATGATTAAAAAATTTGTATTTATGAAAAGGCTCAAATATGAAGATCAAGGTAGAGGTGTAAAAATATCCTATCCACTTTCACACTGTCTGTCCTTTGTATTTATTCTTGTGTATTTAAGTTCTATTCGTGTTACCAAGTACTTCACATCAAAATCCCCTTGTAATCCTCAGAAAAAAAAATGTATCCATGATTACCATGACTATTTAAGCTACTGTATTTAGGAGTGGTTATATTAACAGAGAAATAAGACACATATAATTTCTGACCTCACAGAACTAACAGAATAATGGTGATATAGTACAGAAAGAGTTTTGAAGGGAGAAGTTCTGGATATCATGAAACAGGGCATCTGTATGTAGATTTTAAGAATCCAGAAAGACTTACCAGAGAGAATGATTTTCAATTTGTGAATTGAATAATTGATCAGAGGACAATGGAAGTGTTGAAGAAGTGTAGGAACACAAGATCAACTCCTGAGGAAGAGAAAATCACTTTTTTCAGAAGCCAGGTGATGAGAGTTTGACACTTTAAAGGTAGAAGTTGGTCACCCTAAGAGGGGAAGTTGCAATTTCAGAGATTAAAGAGGTACTGATAAGCGGATACCTATCCATAAAGAGCTGGAGTAGGGAAGAATGAAGGAACTTTGGATTGTGCAGAGGCAAGAGAGGGGATGGGTAGGGCTCTGGGGATGAGAAGGACCGTAGAATGAGACAGACATCATTACTCTATATACATGTACGACAACACTACTGGTGTGACTGTGCACCATGTACAACCAGAGGAATGAGAAGTTGTGCTCCATTTGTGTACAATGTGTCAAAGTGCATTCTACTGTCATGTATAACTAATTAGAGAAAATTTAAAAATAGAAAAAAAAAAGAGATACTAGCAACAGTTCCTGAAGTCCCTGTGAAATTCCTGCTGAGGACTTTGGAGTTAACTTAAGACCTCTGAAATATTTTAATTAAGACACTTATAGAAACAAACAGTGTAATTTTAGAAAGATTATTCTAGCTAGAATAATCTTTAAATCATTCTTTAATCATGTTAAAGAATGATTCTTCTGTAAACATAATACTAGTGAAGATTTACAGGGGTGGGGGTAGGAATGGGGGTGGAGGTTATGATTTCTGTATGCCTTATGTGGTAGGCATTGTGATTTGTGATTGGCTTTTTAAAGGCCTAGGAAGATTTGATTAGACATTTTTAAACTTCTGTGTTATTGGGAACTTGGTCTTATTAGTTAAGTCAGTATTAACATAAAAGACGTCTAAAGTGAGAAGCCATGACAATAATATCACTGGCACCTCGTGGAGTTGTTATTGACTTTTCTAGGAGTTTCCAGAGATTCATCTGATTAGTTTTTAAATAAAATTATGTTATCCCAATGGTGAATCAGTAAATTTTTAAAAGCAATACAATTGCAAAAACAAAACCAAACAACATAAAGTTTGTGACTCGATGTTTAGGTTCTTCATGAGATTAAAAGCAAAGAAGAGAGTAGCATATTCAACTCCCAGGAATATAAAGTATAACAAGCTATCAAAAACCTGAAGAAAATTCTTATATCAATATTCAAAAAATGAATTTGCCCTCATAGAGATTGTAAGACTTGTTAACTGTTATAAAACAGGCCAAGGTGTCCTGGAGCCAGTTCTTATAAGAGGGGGACTGTTAAACAGTTCTTACAAGAGGTGATTACTAAAAATTAAGTGATAAGATCTTACAATTAAATAAGTTATATTAAGCCAATAGTGATAGTCAAATTAATCACTTCATAATTATTTTATTATAGCTTACATTATCAGCCTTGGAATTATGTCTGTTGCCCCTATATGTAGAAATGCTGTGTTAACACTACACTGAATGTCATTATCCTGGCAATTTGAAAACAGCCCTATCAGGAATATTGATACAATAGAAATTGTCATATGCTGCAAATCAAGGCTATTTGTTTTGCTTTGTTTGGAGAGCTAATTGCTAAACATTTACCAGTACACCACTGAACAAACATACCCGATTTTCAAAATAAAACTATCATAACATTTTTGGATGAAAAAAAAATCCCAGTATTTTTTTTTAAATTAAAGATGTTGACTAGGAGTAGGACAATGAAAAGCACTAACCACAGAGGAAAAAAAGATCTTGACAAGGAGTGGGACAATGAAAAGCACTAACCACAGACAGAGAAAAGCCCTAACTGCAATGAAAAGCACTAACCACAGAGGAATGGCTGGAGCTTCATTAGAAGGTATAACATAGACTGAGAGTGCATTGCCTATGAAAACTTTTTTTAAAGGTACCCTTTTTTAGACCGTGTCATAGAGGACAATTTTACTGTGTTCCAAGGAATGTGTTTTAAAAAATAAATGCAAAACTGCAGTTGGCCCAATACTTTTTAGCCCACATGAAATAAAGAATTATGCATTTTAATAGTTTTGCTTACTTAATCACGTTTTGCTTACTACTTTGTAATGATATCTTCTAAAATGACATGTTCATTCGCCAAAGACTTGGCAGCAGAAAAACTGATGAAATTTTCAGTGATGTTGAGTGAGTATATTATAAATCCCAGAAGTACAAATACAAGAGAGGTTTCAGAAATAGCACCGCTCTTCTCCTCAAAATTACTGCAGTTATTAAATTATTCTATGAAGACACCTTGGCTGAAAGAGCCTGCTTTTTGATTTCCTTCATGGTTTCAAGAAATGCTAATAAAGGTAAATTTTGAAGAATAAAAAAATGATTTGAATATGATCACTTCAGTTAAACCTGTAACAACATGGAACATGACTTTGAAAACTCATGGCCCTCTACCCAGGCAGGCTGGTGTGGTCACAAGCTGGTAATAATTGGGGTGTTTGATCGGGGTTGAATTGTTATTTTTCTTCTTGAAAGAGAAAAGGAGATATATCATGACAATGACAAATGGTAAAAATCAGGATGAGGGGAACGAGTTAGTTTTGTCATCTTATTGTAAAGAATGGCTGACAGTGTCGGCTTTTAAATGAATATTTACCAAGGCCTATCACCTTTAGAGAATTGCAAGGCAAACTTGATGTTTTTATTATTCAGATGTGATCACTGCAATGAAATGACATCTGACAGTTGGACTAAGAGAGTCTAATACTGTAAAGGTGTTAGTGCTCTCTAGATTGTACGAAAGTACAACAGTCAGAATCATAAAATAAAGAACATCATCAGTTATCCTACCCTCTAGTGTTCAATGATCACCTCCCTGAAACACAGTAGTATGTTGAAATCTTTCTAATTCAAATAATGACCTTTCCGCCAAAAGTGAAAATATACCTATGTGTGTATATCACATTTTTTTTCCTAAGAGGAGCTTGAAAAATATTAATCTCTACTATATCTTGCATACTTTTCTTCAGTGATTATTTCAATGAGACCCCGAAACAAAACGACAACAACAAAACTCATGTAATTTGAAACAACATGCTTACATAAGTCAACCTTCTTGAGATTTGTTATGATGTGGAAACGTTAAGGAGAAGTTTCGTATTTATTGGGCCAGCTATGTAGTGCCAGGTGTCTGTGCTTGAACTTCCAGAACTTAAAGCAATAGCATCAGACAAGCAGGAACACACCAGGATGGTGCAGTCAGGGACATTAAATGTGGAAGGAATGATCCTGGTGAATTTGCCTTGTCAGGATCTGCCCCAAGAGCCTGGGAAGTGATAGAACTCAAACTTTTGAATAAACTTGGGAGACCAACTCGTGCTGACAAAATCTATCAGGATTTTATGAGTTTACAAACAGAATGATTATTTACTAATTCATGATGAGAAATTTTATTGTCAAGGAAGGTATCTTTTTGTTCTAGAAAGCTATAAGGAAAGTTAAATTTGAATAAAGAGAAGTACCTATATGATTCAATATATAATGGCTTTAGGCTTTCAAAGTCTTTTCTGTTCATATCAATGAGACTGAAGTCCAAGAGACCAAGACCTGTCAGGCCAAATACTGGGACATTTGTGGGTTCTCTCTTCTTTGGTCTGTGTTTGAAAAGGGACTGCAACCTGTGTCCTTTGGCTCCACATGGCTCAAAAATTTCCCTGTTGATCTTCTTTCCTTTAGATTCAGAACCTAGGTAGTACTGTGGAAATAAATCATAGGGCAAGGGATTAAAAATACTAGAACTTGCATTTGAGCTTATTTCTACCATTTTTTCTCTTTTAGGTATTTTATAATGTACATAATACTTAATAATATCAAGTAGAATATGGTGCAAATTATGTTTCAGTCCCTGCTGTAAGGACTTTACACAATTTGGTGCTTAGCCCTGGGACAAACTATAAATGAAACCAAAGTTAGTAATGTTAGTTGTGCAAAGTAGAAGAACTAAGACCCAAATCTAGGTTGTCTGGCTCCAGATTCCATGCTTCTAACTCTTGTATGCTTCCTGGGTCCCAAGGTATAAGTGTAATTTACAGATGAATGACTAACATACATTAGTGAACAATATTTATTGATATGGCCATACAGGTGGATCCATTTGTCAGCTTTGGACTGTTCTTTCAGATTTGAGATTCTTTTGCACATCTTCAATTTTCCGTGCTCTGATCTTCTTTTTGTGTGCTGTTTTATAGTTGAAATGCCCATAATTAAAGCTCCCTTTGTACACTCATGCTGTGTGTGTCCGAACTCTGGAAGTTTGTTACATCACCTTTAATAATCTTAAGATGACTCAAGCAATATTTAGTGTCAACCGACAGAAGTCGGTTGTTTCTTACCTCAAAACTAATTCAGAGTCCAATAAATTCTATACTCCCCTTGTTTAATGTGCAAAGAAAGATTCTCTGTAAGTGTATGCAGAATAGTACAGCCCTTCTTACATTGTTGCTTTAGTTTATTCTCATTAATCTCCATCATGCAGATGGGCTCATAAGACAAGGAGGCCTCATTTAAAAAGAGGTTAGTTTCTTTCTTCTGAATGTGGTAAGCACCCAGATGTTTAAACATACAAAACTGACTGAGAGTAATTCAGAAAACAGCATCAAGTGTGAGGAGGAAAAAACTCTTGAAGTGAGATTTCTTCCTAAAGGTATTTTTGCTGCTGCTCTTAGCATCTTGATAATAAAAATAATTGGGCTATTTTAGTTCTAGTCTTCATACTTGTGTAATGTAGCACTATGACTTAGGCCATCTGTTTTAACATCTTATGATATATCATTCTTTGCTGTTTTTAGATGATGAATGTTTCAAACAGCAGTCCATGGAACTTAATTCTTATTTCCTTATTGTATCATTTTCTTTTTTTTTTCATATTGAAGTCTTCTGGATACTCCAGATGTAATTTTACATTCTGCTCTTAACCATGTGTTGGAGATGGAAAGGGGATAGTTAGTTAAATGGAAACTATGTAGTTGTAAAAGATTTTGGCTATATATCAATTTCTCCATTTCCATTTGACTTTCTATTTTGTTTTGGATCCAAAGTTCTGAATTTTAAAAAGCTTAAAGATCATTATATTGGGGAGGCATAAGTGATATTCTGCTTGTTTTAAATAAGATTATTTATAACATGCTGATTGATTTGTCCTTTTAGCTGTGTTTTCCCAAGCCCTCTGAACCCTCTTAAATCTTTGCAGCTTTCATTGACATTGCTATGTGATATGACATTGAAGTAATTTTCTTTTGCTCAACTTTTATGCCATTCTTGTCCATGTTATTAGCTCTGTGGGCTAGAATGCTGACAACTTTAAATTGCCCACTGGTTGTCATAGTAACTAATATTAACACTATATATAAACTATCCTTGGATTTCACATTTAAATTATTGCTGGTATTCTTTAGTAACTCTCTGGACTGAACAGAAGACTTTGTACATGATGGGCCTTGAAGATTTAGGTTTGGTTGGGAAATTGATTCATTGGCATCTGATTCCAGTCACAGTTTTTGATTTGTTCAGACCTAGCCAGTTCCATTGGATGTATGTTCATAGAACCCAAGAAGGATGCTTGTCTCAATATCATGGGGGATGAAGAAACAAAGTTTTACTTTTAAAGGTTATATTTATTCACTGTGGGTATTTTCCATGATGTTCATTTTTTTTTCTTTACTTATCTCTGCAATGTTTTCTATAATGTTTCTAAAATTGTTAAAATTATACCCTGGGTGCTGAGGATAGAAAAGACACATTATAGGAAGGCTTTTAAGAGAGATGACAGGTAGACACAGCCTGTAACCCACTCTGTTTTGGGTGACTTTTGTTCCTCTAGCCAGGGGCTTAGTAAAGATTCTACCTCCTGCTTAGTGCCTGGCTACCCTCTTTTACTTCTCTTGCATGACTCTTTTCCCCCCCCAAAAAAATACCTTCACTGCTTTGTTTCTTAGAATGAGAAATGGGTATATATAATAAAAGAAAAAAAGAATCTGGGTGTGGTGGCACATTCCTGTAATTCTAGCAACTTGAGGCTAAGAGAGGACAATTGCAAATTTGAGGCCAACCTCAGCAACTTAACAAGATTCTGTCCCAAAGGGAAAATTAAAAGTGCTAGGGATGTGCCTCAGTGGTAGAGTGCCTCTGTTTCAATCTCCAGTACTGAAAAAAAAAAAGAAAAGAAAATTCAAATTCTCCCTCATCTCACATATTAAAAGCCATATTGCATGAAAGAATTCACTGCTCTCATATGAACTTTGTAATCTTCACAGGTAGGTCACCTTTCTACAGATCCTTACTTTTGGGCCATGCTCTCCTTTCCTCTTTCTCCCCTCAAATCACTGTTTTTCTAGCTAACACCATTCAAGGCTGGGTGAATATGCTTAACCCCCTTGGTTTCTGCAGTTACATAATTATTTTCTGTCTGGGTTCCCTATTTACCACTGCTTCAAGAAGAAAGAATACTCTATTAATTGAAGCAACCTATATGCTTCATATGTATTCAGTATTCTTGATGTTGGATCATTTATTTGTCAAAGACACTTATGTAATAACTTGATGGTGACACTAAGTCCTCTTCCTCTCCCCACAACTTAAACTCCTCCCTTTTCTGTTCTGAATATACAACATCCTGCTTGGCTCTTGGGTTTCTCTCTACTCTCCAAGATTCCTTGTTTATTAAAATTCACTTTCTTTTCCTGGAGCGGAGGTACACACCTGTAATCCCAGCGGCTCCTGAGGCTGAGGCAGGAGAATCTTGGGTTCAAAGCTAGCCTCAGCAATGGCAAGAAACTGAGTGAATCAGTGAGACCCTGTCTCTAAACTAAAAACAAAATAGGGCTGGGGGTGTGGCTCAGTGGTTGAGTGCCCCTGAGTTCAATTCCTGGTACCCCCCCACCCCTCAAAATTCACTTTCCTATTGTTTCAATCCTCTGTCTCATCAGATCCTTATCTTCTAAATCCACTTTCCTTCTCCTTTTAATAACAGTGTCTAGCAGGGTGTTAAACAAATACCAATGCAATCTTGTATTCTGAGGGTTGTTAAATTTCATCACAAGGGAAAAGTGACTTGGATTCAAATATGACTTAGCCTGGGTTCAGCAAAACAAAACAGGTTTCTGCATCAAAGAAAATCATGGGTATATTGTGTACCAATGATAAACACTGTGAGTCTCTTAAGGGGAAAAGCCAAAACAACATTTCTCAAACCTCTATACCTTGTAAATATTTTAGGACTTTCATTTATGGGATTGGTTGTTCTGGTTTGCTTTGCTGTTTTTATTTTATTTTTTAATTTTTTTTAAGCTGTGACCTTTCTTTAAACAAGGGGATGCGTAGAAGGATGGTTGTAAGGAAATCAACCTTAGCATCTTCAACCTCCAGGCATATCCTTTGCTAAAATCAATCAACTTGAGAAAGAGCTGATGGGATTTAAGTTCTCTTTCGGATCCTTTATAATCACTCTTATCCTTCTATACAAGTGACACCCCCCCCACTTAGCCTCCTTAATCTTATTATTGACATATTACTCCAGAGTGAAAAAGCTGGCAGAGCACCAAGCAAATTGAAATTGGTCTTGGTGTGGATAAAAACAGCAAGTGACTTTTAGGTCTGAGTAACAGATTCTTCGACAACTAAGGTAGTTTTCATTCTTTCTACTTTCAACAAAATTTGAGAAGGACCTAACAGAGTAGTTAGCTGGCTGGTTATTAGAGATAATTTTTGATGACATAGATGATGCTATATAATATTCTTCACATTGTTTACAAGAATTTCCATGAAGTAAAGTTTCCATGTTCTTATTAATGTGAGCAAATTTCTCAGATTTTAATTAGAAAAATGAAAAGTGGAAATAAGTGTTGTACTGAATCCTATAGATCACTCCTGCAATAAGTGATGGTCAACCAAGTACATAACTTAATTGGAAAAAGAATATATCTCTCTGAATAGGAGATGCATTTCTAGTAAGTACTTTATAAATACAATGTATTTATTTTGTTTAGCTCAATTAGGTACTAGTATATCTTTAGTGATAATTCAAAGATGAAAATCTCAAAATAAATATATTTCTTCCACGTGAAATGTGAAAATATTATCACTAAATGATTTTCAAACATTTCAATGTATTGCATTAGTTAAAATTCTGTGGAGAATCATGAAGCATAATTCAAAGGAAAAATAAATGATAAAAATTTCTATTAAAGGCCATATTTTCAGTAGATGATATTGAATATCAAATTGTGGTATATTCCATTTACTTATAGAAGCCATAGAACAATTTCACTTTCAAATCTCAGTAATTAAAATGGATCATTATAACTAAAGTTTATGAGAATTATTTTAGATGTTAAATGAAAAATATATGAAGGGTAGCTAGTTGTTTAAAAGTCTTCTAGGATATATGTGATCAAAATTCTACAACTCCACCAAACACTCAGAGACACACTGACCTAAGAATTTAATTTTTCCTCTGATGCCTGGGTTTCCCTGTCCTCTTTATCTAAGACCAAGCAGTCCTTTTTGAATAAAGCTCATGACCTATAAAAAGTGTTTAATAATCTAACTAAAATAGTGAATTTACATAAGTGATAAGGGTTTGGGGGTTCAACCATTACTGCACATTTGCTAGGCAACAATGCCAAACCCCATGCTAGGCACCGGATAAACCACCAGTGAACAAAATGACATGAATCCTTGTCCTCACAGACTTCCTCA